TCTCTCTCTCTCTCTCTCTCTCTCTCTCTCTCTCTCTCTCTCTCTCCGTATATTTTAAGTATATTAATTATACCATCAAAAGATATTAATTTTGTATTTAATTTTTAATATTGTATTTATATAAATTTCAGTATGTCAAATAATAATTAAAAAACTTTTCTTTTAATAAAAAAAAGTAGAAGTTTTGTAGAAATATGTATGCAATTGTATAGATGATTAAGATTAGGACGCGTTCACGTAGCTGCCAAGGATGCCACACAGAAGCAGAATCCCGTGCATATCTTAACGGAAATTTATAATGACGTCGATCTAAGTAGGACATCGTGATCTTCTTCTGAAATTCCAATGAGATAGGAAATTCGACAAAGTGTGATGCCATTCCCTTTCATACATCTTTAATTTTTTATATTATTACATTTCGACAATTAAATCTCAAATTAAGACTCTATAACAATATATAATATTGCCCGCTTAAGTTTAACAATTAAAAAAAAAATAAAGCTTTGCTATTGCTATTTCGCTTGCGGAAAAATTTTGCGCGATGTTCACGTCTATAATTCTTTTCAATCGCGCGTAGCTTGCGAGTTAACGATATCTCGAGCGAGCGGCATTCTTTTTTATTTGTTCTCCAAGATCCGCAATCACGTGAAGTGCGCAACATCCAAGCGAGACGCGGTGTATCTCAGGATTCAGCTCCATGGGTGGCTGAAGCCCAACCTCGGTGAACGCTGCTACTGATTAATGTGTCACACCTACTGCATCCTTGCCGTGTCCGAAGCTATTAGGAGGTTTCCACACATACATGTACACATACACACGCACACACACACATATATATATAACAGATATACGACACGAATGGAAGACACGTGGTTCCCACTCAAACGACGGCCCGCATGCTGTCAGCCCAATTCGCCAATTTGCTGACTCCTTCGTCTTCGAGGAGCCTCGCCGTTCCTCTCTTCGTCGTCCAAGTAGATCGCATCATCGATTTGCCCGGTATGCGTCTTAAGACACCAGTCTATATCGCCTCGTGAAAACACGTTCAATCGTCCTCCACGTTGATAATGGCTGACACTCGAGACTCGCTTTCAAGTTCCAAATCGGTGGGCTTCAAATATTTCGGCGTCACGTCCGCGCTCCGACATTATTCACATTATATTTATTTTTAAATTTTCTTTCGGGCAATGTAATTTATTTTAACCATTATTGCAACCTCGTATATTTTTATCTGTGTAAATAAAATGTATATAAAATGTATATAAAATCGTAGGACGAGCAAAATAATTTTTATATTTTTCTCGTCGAGAAAATAATTCCTGCATAAGAGGATTTTTTTAAACTCTGCTTTTATGATTATTATGTTTAAGGTAGATTGTATATATATATATATATAGTATATATTATATACAATGAAGTTTTTATTATAATATTTTTATTCCATAGTGTTTTAACTTTCAGAGATTTGTACATCTAATTAAGAAAAACTTTTATAATGCACACAACAGTGCATAGAAATTCATGCACAAATTGTATCATTAAAAAAGACCGCCTTCATTAATATAGCTTCACAAAATGAGAATCTTCTTTAACTAGCTAAAAGCTAACGAATATCAAATATTTCCTTGAAAATAATAACTCGCGATGGCTGCTAGATGGTTGTTACGCTTTTTCCTTTTTCCCTTCTTTATTTCCTTTTCTCTCATTGAGGATCAAATCCACCCCTGAGATAAGCAATCTTCATCTCGCGCTCGGCTTCGTCTTTGCTCGACTTGGCCGCGTAATCCAGAGAAATATTGCAAATTCGAGAGCTACCGGGGAGTAAAAAGCCTTTCGCTGTTCTAAGACGTTCGCGGACGTGGAATGAATCGTGAAATCGCAGGACGCTCCTCTACCGATTCTCCGAGGAAAGGACCATTAAGTCTCGGATGCGCGTAGTCCATTGCTCGCATTTGCCAGTGTGTATCTAAGAAGAAGAAATATACTCTTCCACTCGTTACGTGGCGCGTGGCGCTTTTGCAAGCTAACGTGTTTAAAGCCAATTTACATTCTCTTGCGTTTGAAATTAAAATACATTATTCATCATTGGGGGGATTTAACAATAAAAAAAGCGTATCATTAAGAGAAGATACGGTATCTTTAATTATATTGCCTTTAAATGAAATGATTACCTTGCCTTTATACGCAAAGTTTTTCTAGTATGGAAAGTAAAATCGTGCACGTGGTTCTTTCATGAAACGTATGTATGTCGAAGGGGAACGCTTTCGATCTCCGCTGTAAATCGGCCGCGTCACGCTGGGGAAGCGACGTCGTACAAATTTCCAAGTCGCTTCATCATCGTCGGCCATCAGTCACGAAGCAAAGAATGTTGTGTGAGACGGAAGCAAGGGTCTACAGAAAAGCACTATAAAAAAATGTAAGAAAAAGGGGAAACACGGAGAGAAGTTTATGAAGAACAAATGTGGAAGATCGCGGAGGAAAAAGTATCGGAGTTAAAGAGATGCAAATGTAGAATCGTGTGGCAATAATTGCAGTAAAACAGATATAATAAGAAAAGTTCTCATGATATTTTTTGTTTTCACGATTGTTATTTCAAACATGGTAAATGTTAATAACATTGTTTATGACAGTTACATCAATTAAGCTTTTTTATAGTTGTATTACAAAGCGTGCATTGAGCATGCATGAGAGGTGCGACAATAATATGTCCATATCATTATTGCTGCGCCGTTGTTATTTCCTCGATAATTCGATAAGATAAAAAAGAAACTACACAAATCAAGAAGCGATTACACTATCCGGGACAAGCCGTAAGTTCTCAGAAACGAAGAACGGGATCATGACTGCGAAACTACAATAGGCTCTAAGCCAGGTCGGGCCAAGCAGGATGTAACCTACATCCGGCATGATGCATTACACCGGCACGCTTCCGACGTTTGCGCGTTTTCTCCGTCGCGAGAACGTCTCCACGACCCTTCGGCAAATCGAAATATTTCTTCGCGGGATTTCCCGGACCGTTCTCGCGGGCCTGTGACCCACTTTATTCGAATTCACGTGCAACCGGCACGTACTGTCTCGCGACTACCGTTCATCTTCGGGAGCGGCGACCGCATGAATCGTAATCACGTTCGAAAAAGCGTATCACGTATCTGGAGCACGTAGGCCGGCAAGTGACCGGAAGGGAAGGCACCTACCGGCCTGCGTCTCGCCTGGCCGAACTGCAACGGTAAGTTTTCGCGGCACGGGACCGTGAGATGCTTCTCAACAAAGTTTCCGGAAGAAAAAGCGAGAAGAAGGGACAGATAAGTGCCGCGTAACTTCGTTTTTTTTTATCATCCCGTTATATCCCGCTCGAAGATGCGGAAGAGCGATTAAAGTTACCGGCGTTATCGAAGACGAGCACCATGAGATTATGGCGCACCTTGTGAAGCATATTGTTCGTTGTGTTATTGGAAGAAAAAGATCCTTCCCTGATACTTCTGCTCGAAGAAAATCACGCGTATAATATTTAATATAATTAACATTATAATATTATAATAAACGGTTAGTCCTCGCATTAATTTAATTTTATCGCGATGTACGAAGTAAAAAGTTTATCGTACTCTGAATTTTAGTATGTTTAAAAAGTATTATTGAATTTCTAAGGAGATAAGATATTATCATTTAATTTGCCTACTCTTTAATTTTTAATCGTCGTATTAATTAA